TCTGTGTGGCACAATGGTGGGAGACATGTCGTTGTGCATTTGTCCAAAGACAAGACATATGGCACCAGGTGTTTAGTCAAGCAGCTCCCTGGTGCAGGGAGGAAAGCAGAAACTGCTTCTAAAAGGCAAGCCAGGGAAGACAGGCAGTTCTACCCCTAGGAGAAGCCCACAGTCCTCCCAAGCCCTGAATCCAGCTTCAGGTTTTGGTGAAGCAGTAATTCCTCTAGCAGATGGGTCAGCTGTGAGGAGAAATCCTGTTTTGTTAGGCTATATGAGTTGGAGGGCAGTGGCAAGGCACCATCTTATGAGAGAATCTGTTGTTAAAAACTGAACTACCCTGGGGGTACAGCCACAGGTCAAGGAGCCTCAGTTTGGCCTTCTACGGTCCCCAAACGAGGAAGGTTCAGAGGGGAAGTCATGGCAAGCAGAAGGGCTGGAGAGTGATAAGCCTAAAGGTCAAAGTGGCAGGAGGATGGTCCAAGCTGAGAAGGACGTAAGAAGAAAGAAGATAGCTCTTTTACTGGTAGCCAGAAAGATTTCATTAACTGAGTGGAGTTTGATAGTTTTGTTAACTCTGGGACCAGCTAATGGACAAATTCTGGAGCCACTCATCTGTCATTCACTGCTGTAGAGCCCAAGAACTTGAAAGTTCCATGATAACCAATTCCTACAGCAGGAAAATTAATACTCAAGTCAGTGCTGTGTTTACTTCATTTTCAACAAACTCAGGAGACATCTCACAGTGAAACATTAACCATCCTAGGGGCTAAAATCTGGGAAGTCTTGGAAGCATGAGAACCTGTCCAGCGACAGTGCAAAGCTAAGTGTGGCCTGGTGCACAAAGGAAAGCTACCACAGTGAAGACAGCTCTGGTAGACACCAGACATGTGCCCAGGAAAGACAGAGCAACAGCATAAACCACAGAACAGACAAGCATCAACAAGTTCAACTGATTCCCCCTCACCATGCATATTATCAATAACCTTCTAGAAAGCAGCCGTGGCAATACGTCTTATCTTTTAACCCTTGATTCTCTCTATCCTGCCCATCTTAAAGTACATATTTGGCAGTTTCACTTTATGGTATTTTACACTTTTCAATGTTTTTGGGGTTTTTTTCCTGTAAATTTTTTTTTTTTTTTTTTTTTTTTTTTGAGACAAGGTCTCTCAGTAGCTCCAGCTGGCCTGGAACTCGCTATGTAGACCAGGCTGGCCTCGAACTCACAAAGACCTGCCTGCCTCTGCCTCCTGAGTGCTGGGATCAGGGATCAAAGGCATGTGCCAGCACACCCAGCTCCTGTCTTAAATTTATCTAATTTAACTTTTTCACTATTGAGATTTTCTTTCCAGCATCCTGCTCTCTTCTCCGTGACTCGCGTCCACTGCTCTTCTCTGGCCTTTTGCTTTAATCCTGCTCTGTCCTTTCTCTGCCACTTCTTCTGTCTTATTCATGCACTGTCTCCACTTTCACCCCAAACACTGGTAACTTCTCACACACTCTTGCGACTTTCGGTGTCTTGGTCATTGGTGATGTTCTAGTGGCTATAACTGGTGTTAAGGTGTATTTCTATGTCTGTGTGGTTTGATTTTGCTGGCGCAGCCATTTGTTTTCTCTTCACTGAGTAATGCTGGGAAGAGAGTCTCCAAGAGTAGACTGCTCAGTAAGATCCCTCCAAAAACCAGAAGACACACCCAAACCTAGAGATGCACAAATCACAACACAGAAATCCAAGAAACACAAACCCTGAAGGCAGCATGATTCCCCAGAAGATCCTAACTTCTAACCTACTCAACTCAAAGACACTGAAATAAGGACAATGCCTGGTGAGGATTTCAAAAGTGTCCTGGTAAAAGTGATCAATGATCTGAAAGAGAATATAAACAAGCAGATCCAATCCAGGACCTAGAAAGTCAGTAACATGGAGGTAAAGTCTGCAAAATGGATGAGAAAATCAGCAATATGAATGAAAAAGTCAGCAATATGGAAGAAAAATTCAGCAAAAAAACAAAGATTTAGAAAAAAATATAAACGCTGAACTGAAGAATGAGGCTTTACTTTTGAATGATGTAAATATTTCAGAACTAGATAGAGGTGGTGATTGTATAATACTGTGCATGTGCTAAATATCACCGAATTGTTCACTTTAAACTGTTGATTTTGCATCATATTGATTTCAGATCAATAAATCATTTTTATATATAGAAAAAAGAAAATGAAGTATAGAAGTAGTCTGAGTTACAAAACTTTACATGTTGCTTCTTTCCATTCTGCCAGTGAATTTGCATGGAAATAATGCAATAAAAATTTCTAAAACAAATAAAATTCAAAGGTCAAATGCAAAATTAAAAGCAAACTGTGTTAAAGGTCAATATGCTTTCTGATAAAGGCTTCATGATATGCAGTCATACACATAGTCACAGAAGTAAAAATCAAATGATAGCTTTTCCTTCCAGATTGGCAAAGATGAATCCTAAGATATGGTGGGTTTCAAGTGCAATGCTCAGAGTTCTGGAAGACTGTGAATGGGCCAGCCCTCTGAGACTCCTCAGTGTATATCAAAAGTACCGACAGCCCATGTGCCCTCCTCCATTCTTCTAGAATGTATGTTAAAGGGGAGAAACCAGTGAGGACAAATTAAGACAAGAGTAGGAGACTCACCCTGGGATGCCCAGCAGGTGTTAAACACTTAAAAAAAAAATCAGTGACTGTTAGTGAAGTCCACATTGTAAGCACTCCTGCTGTTTCCCCTCCCTTCCTTCCTTTTTTCTTTCCCCCCCTCCTC